GCTGAAGGCTCGAAGAAACAGTATTCATTCCTGCAGAGGAGAAGAATTTTTCTAGACACATGCAATGAACTTTTAGGAGCAAAATAACAAGATTTGGTTGGGTTTATATGGGAATCCTTTCCATGCCTGTGGGGTTGTGCATATACACATTTAACCATTAGCAAAAAGCTGGTTATATATGGCACTGAAGATGTTATTAGCATACTGAAAGACCCCTTGATGCAAACACTGAGCTGCCCCTGGCCCAGCTTGTTATAGGAACGTTTTTCTCTGGTTAGCCTTAGTAAATGTAGGTTAGCCTAGTAAACTTGGGCATGCTGGGAAGGGAGAAGTAAAGAACAGATGCGATGGAAAGATGAGAGGAATTTAGGAGGCAGTTTTCTTCTACCTTGAATTACCTTACTAATGTTGAAAATCCAGTCTCTTAAAAATTGAAGGGCTCTGAAAAGAGAACAGAACCAGTGAAGAATTAAGATGTATGTAAAATCTCTCCCCTCTCCTGTTGTTAAAAGAAACTTCAGCAGTTCTGCTCTTGCCATCAAAATGTCCTTAATTTTTCTGCATTTTGGTCTTTTTCAGTCTGGATGAGGCAGAGAAGAGAGTGGGAGGGAACGAAGGGGGGAGTGGGTTGGGAGCAGAAGTTTAACAAAGGATCACTTTAACAGAAACTACTGAGTAATCGCTCTGTCCCAAGCCAAGAATAACATCAGCTCAATGTCGGCAATTAGAATCAGGTCAGTCGGGCCTCACGGCCGATGCAGCCCGCCTCACAGACCCCAGCATGGAGAGCTACTCATGCTGATGTCACCAGTAGTCACTGTTGCCCAAGAAAGTCCCCCGACTCAGCTGAAAGAAAAGTTTTTTTTTTTTTTGCCTTCTCCTGTAAGCCAGTATGAGAAGGAAGAGGGAAGCATGGAGGAAAACTAGAGAGAAGATACACACTGGGATCTATCAATCTATAACAGATTCATTTTATCACCCCACCTATTAAGATTCTATAGTTCTCTCAACCATTCTGAAACTCGTTTTAAATAAGCTAATATGTTTAGAGCACCTGGAATAGTGCTTGGAACACAGTGCTTATTAAGTGGTGGCTATTATTATTAAAACAAAAAGGGAGGTATCTGTCCAATTACTTATCTTTTGCCCACCTTAAGACTTGAATCCTGGGAGCAGTGATTGCTGAGCAGAATGTACCCTGATAAGAAGAATGAGCAAGGAGATATTTTGATAACTTATTTATGAGGAGACTGTGGTAGACGGGGTGAAAAAGATGACAATAATGTCCCTATAAAAAAATTATTGCCTGAATTTTATAAGGGCAACACTAAGTTTTAACACATTCTGTCTACCTTCCAAAGGACAGAAAACAAATAAGCAAGAACAGAAAAATTTAATCTCTTTCCTTCTAGATGGATGGTTTTCAAAGTGTGGTACCCAGAAGAGGAGCATTAGCATGACCTGGGAACTTGTTGGAAATGGAAATAATTGAGCTCTCACCCTGAACCTACTGAATTATAAAGGGGCAGGGGAAAAAACTGGTGTTTTAACAGGCCCTTCAAATGGTTCTGTTGCCCTAGACCAGAGGTCTGCAAATCAGGGCCTGAAGGCCACAGCCTGCCACCTGTTTTTATAAATAAAGTTTTATTGGATGACAGCCACACTCATTTGTTTACATATCGTCTATGCCTGTTTTCACTCTATCATTGCAAAGTAGTTGCATCAAAGACCCTATGGCTGGGCCGGCCCGGTGGTGCACTGCTACAGTGCGCCGCTTGGGAGCGCGCCGGCTCTCCCGCCGAGGGTTTGGATCCCACATACAGACCGGCCGCTCACTGGCTGAGCGAGGTGCGGGCGCAACACCGAGGGTTGCGATCCCGTTGCCGGTCCCGGTCCGGTACGGGCGCGACACTGAGGGTTGCGATCCGTTGCCGGTCACGAAAAAAGCAAAAAGGAAAAAAAAAAAAAAAAAACAAGACCCTATGGCCTGCAAAGCCTAAAATATTTACTATCTGGCTATTTACAGAAAAAATTTACCAACCTCTGCTTTGACTTAAAATGATGTTTTTCAAACTGCTGGTTTTACCCATCAGCTTGTAAAAGCTCATAGTCTCAATTTTGTCTTATTTTGTTTATCATGTGATCAAATACACTGGACCACACCAATTTTCTTGTATGTCTGTCTCTGGAAACCTCTGCCAATGTTTTGGGTGACATCTTTTCTAATCTCCATGTTACAGGATCAGTCTTTTGCAGGGGTGGATTTAGTATATGCAATTTCTAGATTTATGAGTGCAATGCTAGACAGGGATGAAGATCAAAGAGCTCATTCTGTATGAATGAACAGAGATGCCCATTTCCAAACTCACATCCTGAACAAGAGTTTGCCTTCTTGAAATTAACACCTTCAATAAGCTGCATAACTAAGTGCTCTGATTGGAGGCAGAAAAGGATGGAGAACTTCCTCTGAAGGTAATGGGACAAAGGCTGCATGATCTTTCCCCAAACACTTATTATTAGAACATTATGTGAAAGGCACTGTTCATGAACATAATTATCACAATATACCATAGCATAATATAATATAAATATAAGGCCCCCTTTGACATCTTATTCCATAAATGGCTCTCTCTTATGGGTGAACAAAGGGGAAATCAGGTTTTAATTCTCCCACTGCTTTCAAACAGGCAGTTAACTAAACTGTTAATTATTTCAATGGCTACCTATACTTTAAAAAAATGAATCCAGGGCTAGCTGGTTAGCTAAGTTGGTTAGAGTGCAGTGTTGATAACACCAAGGTCAAGGGTACGGATTCCCATACTGGCTGGACAACAAAAGAAAAAAGAAAAGAAAAGAAAAATGAATCCAAAGTGCAAGGAGTTCATTAGAGAAGTACCATCTCTATCTAAAAGGTTAACTCAAGAATAGAGATATAGGACATATTGAGAATGCAAACCATGCTTCAATCAACTATCTCGTGATAATTATAAAGGTCGGGTCTAGCATAGCTAAGCTAAAATCAAAGGCTTAAAATCGAGTAGGGCTTTGCTTCTGCTGCAGTGATTCTAAAAGCCCTCTGAAACAAAGTGCTCTAAGTTACTAAGCATTCTTCATGTTAGAATATTTAATATCTTATTTGCTATTTTATTAATTATAAACTTTTCATGCTAATAAAAGTTAAGTTTTTTAGCTCTCCTCCACAATCCCAGAACTTCACCCTTATTCATTTTTACCTAAATCAGCTATGGTTTAGAAGAACAGAAGAAATAAAATGTTACATATATATATAAAATTATAATGAATTATTTTCTGTTCCCTCTCCAGGAGACACGAATATCTCCCTTCTTGGGAGTTCTGCCTCCTCCCTAAGATAGATATTCTGACAGATTCTAAAAAACATTTTCCATATACTTCATAATTCAGCACAACTAAACCAGTACAAACCTCAGTGAAAAAAAATCCACACAAGAATAGCAATACCCTGAATTTTCAAAGGAATGTGAGTTGCTGGAAGCGAATCAAAACTATGAGAAGGACTTAAAAATGAAGCAGTTTTTAAAGGTGAAAATCAGTAAAACTGCCTCTCCTTCCCCCAAACTTCAATGCCCTGCAAACAATTCTTTTTTTTAAATCATCCACCATTTCAAGGTATTAAAGCATGGTTTAAAAGGGACCAACTGTTTAGATTCAGTAGAGCCACAGATTATATTCACATAAGGGAAATAAGCTATATAGTGTTACCTCCACTGTACAGCATCTGATTAAGTTGGCATTCTCAAGGAATCTGAATGACAGAGTTGTGAAGTTTAAAAAGCTTTAAAATACTGAGTACACTACCACAGGTAAAGATGATCAAGTGATGAGCTATGTTGAAATAATAAAACGAGCATATTTTATTATGAATGGGTAGTTGAAAGGATAAGTAAAGATGCAGATCATAATGATAATTGTTTTATTTAGAGGAAAAAAACTTTGGGATATGTTGCCTTAGTCTTTCAGTGAATATTAATTTTGCGTGAAATGATGCACACTATGTAGTACATTTTTATAATAAAGAACCAAATAATAAGAGATCAAACTGATATAAGGTATTTCTTCATATAACCAAATATCAGGGAAACTCATGGAATCAGTACTCATTCAGCTCAATAACCCTACTTTAGAAAGTGGAACTGATTATAATGATAATCCTGAATCATAAAGAAGAATTTAACTCTTTGTGGTCTGACTTTTTGGTGAGGTCATCCTTTCCCTCTAATTGGGGCCACAGTGATATACTACTGCAATATACTTATATAGCTCTTTCTTATATGTACTCAGGAGTTTCTGTCCTTTTATAGACAATAAGTAGGGAATCAACATTTCCCTACATGTAAGTTCCACAACAGCAAAGGGTCAGATGGTCACTGTGACAGCCCCACTGTTTAGAACAGTGCCTAGCACATGACAGACACTCAATAAACATTTGTTGAATGGATACCTGTCATTTATGGAAGACCAGCAACCTAACTTATGACCATTTCCTATAAGAAGAACTTGCAAGTTATTTGTTCCTTGAAAATCTTGACAGATCATTAAGGATTAATATGTTCTTACATATATCAAGTATATCATGGCAAGAAAACAGTATATTTAGAAGTAAAGATGCTTAAAATGCTACTTACCTTTTAGGTATCTGGGAATTAGACCCCTTGTGCGATTACTAAACTCAGATCATACAACAGAAAAAGGGAAAATACTACAATGCAGATTTTTATAGAGAAACATTCAAATGAAAGAAACATGTCAAAAGCTGGATCAGCATTGCCTTCCAGAAAAGCTAATGTGATGGCTCCAAAACAGTTCTTCCCTGAGAGTAGACTTCCCATGAACTACCCAAGCCAGGGTGGTGCTAGTAAACTTTTGGAAAACTAATCCTACATTTTCCATTTATTCACCTTAATATTTTTCACCAACAGAAGTAAGACATTAGCACATGGAAAAGCCCTGTCTTGAATTACCTGGTGCCGTGCTCGACTCTGGTCCAGAAGCTGCCGGGACTGAAGTTTTTGTTGTTCAAGTTGCTGCAGGGCAAGATGGAGTTGGTAACTGCCTGCTGTGGGGTGATACTTGTGCTGGGGGACCACCCCTGTAGTCTTGCTATATGCATTGTTCTCTACCTCTCCCTCCCAGGCAAAGCCACCTGTTTGGAGGCTCCTGAAGAGAAAAGAAAGCAGATTTCTTAGAGTGGTTGTGTGAACAATGTAAAGGAAAGGAGAGTAATGGCTCAGGTATTTCTCCTTTGTAGAACCAAACACAGTTTGGAATTACAAATCTATGTGTGTGATAAATTATCTGAGTCCCTCACTAAACTATAGCTCCATGAGTACAAAGACAAGGCCTGCTTTGCTCTCCATTCTATTCTAGTGCTTCTATTACAAATCTATGTGTGTGATAAATTATCTGAGTCCCTCACTAAACTATAGCTCCATGAGTACAAAGACAAGGCCTGCTTTGCTCTCCATTCTATTCTAGTGCTTACTGTAAGGGTTGGCATGTGGTCCGCATATAGTAAATATTTGCTGAATGTTCAATAATCAAAATAGTAATTTCACTCCCCTGTGATTGCCTCTAAGAAGAGTCCAGAAATCTTCAAATGGAGGAAGATAGGCTAATTTAACGTAGGAACAGAGGCACAATCATCTTTTCTAATATCAACTTCAAAAGTAAAAGGGTGAATTACACAGAATTCTTGTTTTTTTTTAACCACCCATTAGTGAAATATCTAAATCTTTTTAGAAGCTATTTATATTTAGCTTGTTTCCATCATGGGATAACATAACTGGTGTGAGAAGATACTTTTTTACTTTTTTCCAATTTGACCTCAATATGGTTCCCATCCAGGTTGACACTGAGTCTTTCCTCATGAGAAAGGAAAAGGGCTGGTGGCCTTTTGACTAGTCAGTACGCACGTTATGCTGTTTGTTAAATACTTAAACTATCTTCCTTGACCAAATTCTTAAATTCTAGATTCTGTTAACCATGCCTGTGTATATCCTAGTAGAACTCTTCACTACTACAGCTCCTACGTTTCTACTCTTAGACCATTTCTTCCAGGTAGAGAGGTCCCCATTTATACCCACTTCACACCCACTAGGATGCCAATTATTAAAACAAAACAAAACACCAGAAAATAAAAAGTGCTGATGAGGATGACGAAAAACTGGAATCTGTGTATACTCCTGGTGGGAATGTAAAATGGTACAACCTTTGTGGAAAACACTTTGGTGGTTCCTCAAAAAGTTAAACACAGAATTACCAAATAATATAGTAATTCCATTTGTAGATATATATCCAAAAAATAACCCCCCAATTGAAATCCAAACAGTTAACTGTACACCAGTATTCATAGCACTGTTGTTCACAATAGTCAAAATGTGAAAACGGGCCGGCCCGGTGGCGCTCTGCTACGGCAGCGCTCCCGCCGAGGGTTCAGATCCCACATACAGACCAGCCACTCACTGGCTGAGCGAGGTGCGGGCGCAACACCAAGGGTTGCAATCCCGTTGCCGGTCCCGGTCCGGTACGGGCGCGACACTGAGGGTTGCGATCCGTTGCCAGTCACGAAAAAAGACAAAAAAAGGAAAAAAATAAAAAAATAAAAAATAAAAAAATAAAAAAATAAAATAAATGTGAAAACAACCCAAATGCCCATCAACAGATGAATGGATAAACAAAATGTACAATCTACATACAATGGAGTCTTAGCCTTAAAAGAAAGGAAATTCTGACACATTCTATATAGCATGTACGAACGTTGAAGACATTATGATAAGTGAAATAAGTCACAAAAGAAAAAATATTACGATTCCATTTATGTGAGGTACCTAAAATAGAAAGGAAATTCTGACACATTCTATATAGCATGTACGAACGTTGAAGACATTATGATAAGTGAGATAAGTCACAAAAGAAAAAATATTACGATTCCATTTATGTGAGGTACCTAAAATATTCAATCTTAGAGACAGAAAGTAGAACAGTGGTCACCAAGGGTTAGGGAATAGGGCATTTTCTTTCATCTCCTTAACATTTTTGTTTATTCTTCTCTGGACCTTCTTTAACTACTCTGTATTTTTTTTTTTTCTTGTTTGAGGTACAGTGACCAGAAAATTGTACATAGAAGAAACATTATGAAGACTCTCAGTGAATAGCCATGTCCCAAACCCTGGTTAACGGGGCTTAGAGAAATTAAACAGTGCCGAATTTGAGAGAAGTATTCATAGTGATTTAAATCATGTGTTATTCTTTCCTTTGGCATTAATGGTCATTTCAATGGCAGTGGTGCAGCAACACAGGGGTGAGGTTATGCACACTTTTCAGAGTCCTGACCCACAGGCCACCTGCTTATTTATAGCCCAGGTCCCTCTGACCCCAACAGAGCACTGTGGGAGGGAGCAAAGTGGAATGTTTGCCAAGCCCAGATATACATGCCCCTCTCTTGCCTGTGATCTCTCTCCTAGCCTGGTTATTTCAGGTCTCTTCTTTGGTTTCCCAACCTCTCCCCCAAAAAGAGATTTCCAAACACCCAGTTAAGGGTAGGTCTGTGAAATGTATTCTGAAATCCACATAATCTCGCCTCTGATATGTCACATCCTTTGCTCATCTCCTCCTTCAATTTGGCTCCCACAGTTCTGTTGCTCAATTACACACTATCAGCTAAACTTAGAGAAAAGTACCAAAAAGCTCAGAGCTTATTTATAAATTTTTTTGAGTACGACATCTGATCTTCAGTGACTCCTCTCAAAATGCCTCAATGTGCACGTTATTATACAGATAAAACCATACAATCTTTACCAAGGGGCCTGAGGAGGTATGGAGAAAGGCAGTGAGGACTGATCAAATGTAAATAAGTAGCTAAATACATTAATAAAATGTTAACATTATTCACAAAGTAGAGTGCTGAGTGGGAGTAAAACAGGATTACCTACATATTTAAGAAGGGAGGAGCCAGAGGAACCTATTATCTCTTTTCTCATTAGTGTGGGAAGAGAAAAGCTCACTGCTGAAGATAACACACAAGAAACAGACTGAATAGCTAAAGGAACTGCGGGAGCTGTGAGCTGGAGGGGCCATGGAGAAAGGTGTCCGGGTTCAAGGCAGGAGTCGGTTGATCCAATGAACAAATGACACAGAGGAAGGGGACAGGTAAAAAATCAGGGACTGCTTTGGCTGAATAATCTTGAGATTTCCATACAAATTAGGGCAGGCATTGCTTTGAATCTAGAATAAAACTATTATTTATGATGACTCGACCAAAGTTCACAAAACTCATTAACAGTGACTATGCTTCCATTCCTGGCATGCTGGATATAGAAATGTCTAGCTACAGGTAGCAATCTAGACTCACTCAGTGATTAGCTATTAGAAGACTTAAGTAACTATGACTCGTATCAGAATTTATCTCACTGGCTAACTAGATTGGTTTTATTTGCTAAAAGCTGTTTTAATAACAAATATCCTGAGGAGGCATTCACATTAACACTTTCTTGCTGTCTATCAGAGATTGGAGTCTGTAACTAGGTCCCCTTATTTGGGGATGATCATGAACAGGTTCTCAGGTGTGTGAACATGAGCAGGGGTCTATGGATGTATAAGGGGTAGGACAGTGGGGAAGAGAAGATCAAAGAAGGGACTTTGGATAAGGAGAGATGTGTTTGTTCTTCCGACTGCACACATACTGAACAGACTGAAACATAAACTTTTATAATGAAATCTGTTTTTAATCTCATCAGTAATATAAGCGCAGTCTCTACATCACAAAAGGAAGTTTGTCAAGCAAGTAGAGGCTTTTAGTGAAGAGGCAGGAATTTTTATAGTGTAACAATGGGTGGGGGCAGGGAGTGCTCAGCTGTGTAAGTAATGTAATAAGTGCCACGAGAAACTTGCTTGCTTTGAATTACAGTGGGTGTTACTCAGGCCATGATATCTCACACTTAAAGCACAAGACTTTGGGGTCTGCAGTATACAAGTGCTGTAATGACTGACACAGAGGAGGCCAGGTGTACTAAAATTTGGGCTTTCCCTGATTTCTGGTGCCTGACTTTATATATCTAAATATTCCTTTCTATGGTATCTAGTAATTTGCATTTCCATACACAATTCCATTCCATTTTCATGATCAATTCATTCTATTTTACTACTAATAAATTTTTTACTCCCACCAAAATTTTGAGATTCAATCATTCTCTCTGAAATTTAGTGTTTTTATATTATTATTTGCTCAAAACTAAAATGTAATTGTACATATTCCCTGTAAATAACTTATAATAGTTTTACATTATTTCTAAAACAGAGTACATAGAGCCAGGAGAGTTAGCTGTAGGCATGCTCTGAATGTTTAACATCTGATTCGAATTGAACTATGCTGTGTTTCACCTTTACAACAGGCAACAATATGGCAAGTGTTTCTAAATACTACATTCTCTTATTAGCCTATCCATTTAGAACTTCACCTTACTTTCTCTATTACACTGTGGCCCAGCAGGACAAAATGTTCCTCTCTATAACTGTCCTTCCTGCGGAACCCCACCCCAACCTCCAGCCAATACACACAGAAGGGCTGTACTTTTCCCTCTGGTTTACTACCTGTTTCATCAAATGGATATTACTTTTAGGGAACTTGGAGGGAATCTGCAAAATGCAAAGCAAAATCTCAGAAGGTGGTTGCTCTCTCCATAATGATATGCTTTGAGCATCATGATTTCCTGAGAATGATGTGATTTCACAAGAGTGTAAAGGGGCAAGACAGAGGACTGTGATAGTTGTACACAGGGTGATTATGCTGCCCATTTCCCCAGCCTCCTTCACCCAATCCCAACCAAACAGGATCTACCATGTAGAGGGATGTCCCTAACCCTCTTCATGGTGTCTGTAACTGTGTGTGTGTGTGCTTTCAATTGCCACAATGATAGGGGTGGCGGTATTACTGACATTTAGTAGGTGGATGTCAAGGGTGCTGAATATCCGAAATGCAAGGAACAGTCCTATGCTAGGAAGATGGGCACTGCTCAAAATGCCAATGGTGCTTCTGATGAGAAACATCACAAGGCCATAAAGGAAGTGCTTTCTGGGGAGAACCTTACAACTTCTTTACAAGAAAGAATATCCATCCACTTCAATTGCACTTTATGAAATGTATAGTTATTTAAGGACAG